CCCTGTCTGATGGTTCTTGAAGTCCCAGGATCCCAATCTCCATTCTACTGTCCTGCCACAGCGTTGGTACCCAGTCCAACTCTGAGACACTCCTCCATGGAGGAGCAGCCCATCAGAGACACCCCCTCCAGGGTGATGAACGGCATGACTGATGTGTGCGCCTGCAATCCCGTGGTGCCATCGACAGCTGAGGAGGATACACCTGTAAGCACAGGCTACCACCACCGTGCGCTGGAAAGTTAAGATGAACGTTTATGCAAGGCTTACGAGTATTATCTGGGTGATTTAAAAACGCCCCCTTTAGCAATTAAACGAGAACCTCTACAGGTAGGAGACAGCATCAGGGTAGGCTTAAAGATCCCCCCACAAGAATCCAATACCCAGCAGGAGGGACCACTGAACTACATGCAGTACCCTCTCCCGGGACACAAGACACCTCGCAGGACCACTGAACTACCTGCAGTACCCTCTCCCGGGACACAAGACACCTCACAGGACCACTGAGTTACCCGACGACACAATGCAGCAATCTCCATTTGAAAAAATGACTCCGCACCTTGCTGATTTGGGTGTCCAACCACAGAAATTAGCTCTTTCTTAGTAGGTTGGAAGACTGACAGTTTGCCCCATAAAACACCCACATCAAATGAAAGTTCATATTAGAAATAAAATAATAAATGATTTAGAAGAAAAATATTAAACTAGCACAAAGCTCCAGCTCGTTCTGCCAAATGTTAATACCGTGAGAACAGCAAGTCTGGCCGAGGTACCACTTACGATAAACACCGCATGGATTCCCTCTGACAGTACCTCAAGGTCCTCCCTACACAACCTCAGAAAGAAGGTCTAATTGCAGACCAACAGACAAAACATCGGGTCAAACCACATGCCACGCCTAGCTTTGGGAAGGCCAAAGTACCTGAAGATTGGCAGTTCCATGCTGTCTAAATATAAGGCGGTGTAGTCCACACTGAACTACAATTATTGTAAAAATAAAAACAAAATTAACTCTGATCTGAGAATAATGAATATAACTTCAGTCAATTGCCTTTTCCCAGTTCCCTGAGCAGGCCCACTACTTCAGCCAATCACCTCTTCCGGTCCCCTGAGCAGGCCCACTACCTCAGCCAATCGCCTTTTCCGGTCCCCTGAGCAGGCCCACTACCTCAGCCAATCGCCATTTCCGGTCCCCTGAGCAGGCCCACTACCTCAGCCAATCGCCTTTTCCAGTTCCCTGAGCAGGCCCACTACCTCAGCCAATCGCCTCTTCCGGTCCCCTGAGCAGGCCCACTACCACATTTTCAATCCGCACCGGCACCATTAAATACATCTGGAAGCGGAAGCGTCTGCAGAGTTAACACCTTAGACAGAGCTTGATGGCCTACAAGGGGACGCTGAAGCTAACACCTTAGCTGGAGCAGAGAACAAGCTCCCTCCCACCATCCTTCCTTATGGAACTCTAAAGTCAGTGAGGACCAACAGTTCTATGCAGAGCAGATCCTGCTGTGAGGAAGTCTGCTACTAGGAGCAACAAATTCCGCAATCAACAGCCTTAGCTTGGCTTGGTATTCAGAGCAAATCCACCTCTCAAAGCCAGTTCCTCAGAAATCAGTCCCAACAGGGAACTGGCCCTGGTTCTGCAAACTGGACGCAAAGTCGGGAAACCCACCCACATACTGGGCCAGAGATCTGAGAAGAGAAACTTTCTGTGCCTTGTGTATTTTATAATGAGAACACAGAACGTCAGTGTTGAGGCCATCATCCTGGATGTTCAAAGTGTGGACTTGCAGTTCTTTGCTAAGTTAAATCCCATAAAGACCCTGAGCCGAGATCAGACAGACAGAGAGAGAGAGAGAGAGAGAGAGACAGAGACAGAGACAGAGACAGAGACAGAGACAGAGAGACAGACAGAGACAGAGAGACAGATAGACAGAGAGAGAGACAGAGAGAGACAGAGGGAGAGAGACAGAGAGAGACAGACAGAGAGAGACAGACAGAGAGAGACAGAGAGAGAGACCGACCCATACCTACAAGGCACTAGGGAAGGAGGGCTCTAGCTGCCTTCTGCTCATTCGCACTTTGATTAGTGCAGCCATCTTCATTCAACATGGCCCTCCTCTCACACTGACGCCAAAGAACCAACCCCAGGACACCTGAAGCTGGACAAGTCACCTTCTTCTGCATCCCAGCCAACTAGTAAAGAAAGGACACTGGTCTCTCGGTGGAGGTGGCAGAGACTCACTCCCCAAGTGAGCAAGTGCAGAGTTTCAACGCTAGTGCAACTTTATTAAAGCTGTGACAGTCAATAAGTGACAAGTCATCTCATCGTGTGTGTGTGTGTGTGTGATGCCTAAGCACACACATGTGGAGACCAGCGAGGGTGACCCCAGGCTCCTCATGAATTTCTCCGCTTTATTTGCTAAGTCACGGTCTCTTGGTGAACCCAAAAGCTACCAATCTGACAGGTCTAACTAGCAAACTTGCCAAGAATTCTCCTGTCTCCGTTTCCTAAGTGCTAAGATTACACACAAGCCAGGCTTCCATGCTACCTGGCCTTTATATGGGGTCTGGGGATCTAAATTTTGTTCCTCTTGCTTGCATATCAAACACTTCATCCACCAAGGCATCTCTCCAGACCAACACCTTTTTTATAGAAGATCCATCCCATAAGGTCAATCAGTACCAAACCACAGCGATGAGTTCGATGGTTGCTCCATTTATACCGCCCAAACTGATTTCTCCTGGGACTACAAACTGACAATGGGGCCTGGGCATGTGCCGCAAACATCCGCAGAAGGGCCTTCCAGCCGCTCACCGCAGGCAGCTTCAGCCCCACAGAGCAGGCTCATGAGCTGAAGCAGCCTATGGCTTCAGCTCAGGCACGCCTCCAGCACAAGGCAGGCCAGAGGAAATTCATCTTTCCCACGCTCCTAGAGTTTCAGGCTGAATCTCTGGGCTTCACAGAGATACTTCTGGGATAACCACACCAACAAATTAATACCTTCGGGAGTCGTTTACTTACGGGCAGGTAAGCCAATCTACCAAGCTTGGATCGGATTCCCCAAAGGCCAGTTCCAAGTGTTAGCAGAGGAAATCGGAGGAAAGACAGGTGGAGTCACCTGCGCAAGAGCTCTGGTTACCTGAGCGGGCACCTCACACCTGACTGGTGTGATTGTGGTGTCCACAGCACAGTGGGAATGAGAATTCCCAGGTACTGAGAGAACTGAGCGGCAGCTAGGAGGATTAAAACCTAGACAATCTGAAGAGAAATTTCCATGTTCTCCTGCATGACAGACGAGGATGCCACAGACGTGATGACGGTGACGATGGTGATGATGAAGACCCCTTGACTGCACCCCACAGACATGACTACCATTTCCACATCACAGACAAAGAAAACACTGTATATGCAAGAGCCTAAAATAGATCCTAAGACGCCAGGCCGCCACAAGCCACAAAATCCCAAGATTAATAAACTGCTCAAAGGAAGAGATGTGAGAGGTACTTTGTATTTGCTGGAGAGAACCCATGCAAGTTCCAGATAGAGCATCAAAAAGGTAAACGATGGGGCAATTTCCACCATTTGATGTCATCTCCCAGCAGCAACTCAACCCTGAAAGATGAAGCAGTCGGAGAGATGTCTCAGCAATGAAGAACACGCATTGCTCCTGCAGAGTGCCTGGGTCTTCAGGAATGAGGTGCGATGCAGATTACACGCGCGGGTATGTGTCTGTGTGTCTGTCTGTCTGTGTCTGTGTGTGGTCTGTGCCTACGTGTGTGTCTGTGTGTGTCTGTCTGTGTCTGTGTATATGCACTGTCTGTGTGTGTGTCTGTCTGTATATGTGTGTGTCTGTGTGTTTATCTGTGTGTCTCTGAGTATCTGTGTGTGTATGTGTCTATGTGTCTCTGTGTGTGTATCTGTATGTGTGTCTGTGTGTGTGTCTGTGTGTGTAGATGCATGCAGAGAAAATAAAATACATAATATAAAAATGTCTTCCTTTGTTTAATGTAAAACAGGAAAGCAAGAGAGCATGGTAGATCAGCACGTGGCGCTGAGAGGGTCCTCCAGACCCTGACACCCCCCAGCACGTGGCGCTGAGAGGGTCCTCCAGACCCTGACACCCCCTGCTGGCGGCTGCTGTTTCCCAGTGGCATGCTTCCTAACTGTTAGTCAGGGCAAACCAGGAAGAATGTGGCATTTCCCAACACAAAAGGAACTGAGCACATCACACCAGGTCCCATCATTAAACTTCAGCAGAAGCAAGATAAAACACATTCAAAAATCAGAGCGACAAGCAACAAGGAAACTAAAGTTTTCTCCAAAAATACTTTTTCTTAAGTTTAAGATAAATGTGTTATACCAAGACACACAACTATAATATGCCCTGTATTTAATATGGGTTTGGCTTACATTTCTCTTTACCTTCACAAAATTAACGTAGTTAGTTAAACAACTGGTGTAAAAACAAACCTTCCTTTCTCAGAGACTCTTCTCTCCTGGGTTTAATACTGAGAACCCCATTTCCCTGACAATTTTTATATCAGTGAATAATTTATTAAACAGCACCAAAAAAGAACATTTCATAAATACAGCTATGAGATTTATCTATGAAAACACTGAAAATCAATTCTGTATTTATCTTTTACCTAGATTCACCATAAATTCAATATCTCGTCTGGTATTATAAGTAACCACCATCTGATAGCAAGAGGAGGCTTCCATGTTCTATTGGGAAAGTTTGCAGAATTAAAAATAGTGGTGAAAATGATGATAATTATAATAATTTTTATAGCCCAATCCAAAGAGCAAGCTTCTCTAGTGTGGTTTAAAATGTTTTATGACTGGGTCTAGTCAGTCTGAGAGGGTCTTGAACTTGTGACCTTCCTGCTTCAGCTTCCGTGCCACAACACCCAGGTTATTTACATAAACCTAATTTACAGAAGTCTTCCTTCTGAGGCTTCAGGCGAAGCCCATCTTTGGCCAAGTCACCGTCACTTACCTTCTGGTAAATCATGTGGCACATGGCAACTCTCAGCTTCATCCCGGCGCACTGCACGTGGTAAAAGTACAGGTGGTGCAACACAGCCAGGAGGAGCGTGCACGCAGACAGGATCGCGGCGTAGCCGTAAGCTGTATGCAGAGCCACGGAGTCGCTGGGATCATAGTTCTCAAAATACTCAATGAATTTCCCTAAAAGTACGGGCTGGACTACTCTGGTGGTCTCCTAAAAAAGAAAAAAAAAGGGCATTCATTAGAAATATAAACCACCAATTTTTCTCAACACAACTTTACTTCCACATGCCCCTCGCCCCTGACCTAAGGCAGAGAAAACTGCTGCCGTCATTACTACAGCAAACCAGTATTCTAACCTGAACTCAGAGCCACAGGCTCAAAGACAGATACATGTTAATACACTGGGATTGGTCCAGGCAGATGCGCAATGCATGCTAGAATCAACTTTAAAAGACACCTGGCAGGCTGACAAATAAATCCTGGCTGAAAATGAGTAAGGAAAAAAAATTAGTGGCCGAGGAGGAAAAGGCTAGAAATCTGATTAAATACACACATGCCAGCTCTTGGTCTGCCTTGCTTCCTATGGCCTCTCAATGCCCCACCCAGCCTAACAGGAAGTGACAGTGTGGTCCATTCACAAAAGACATACGCATGCTACCTCCTTCTGTTCCAGCCTTCTCAGCAAGGACATTTGTGAAAACCCAGGACCAAAAAGAGAATGTTCCAATCTTCCTCAGCGCAGGCTCTGCAAATCCGTGCATCCCAGATTCTGCTGGGCATGTGGAAAAGCCGCAGTCTGCACAGTCCCCAGGGAGACTGTGTAATATGTCTCTATCCCCTAGACACTGAGGTGTGCCCAGGGTTACTGCCACCTTTGCTGAGGCAGTCTAGGATTGAAAACTAAACATGGCGCAAACCGTTTTCTACCAGCGTTACAGCACCAGGCACTGATTATAAATCAAGATTAATAAGCATCTATTCTCCGAGACAAAAACCAAAAGCCAATACCAATGACGTGAGAGGCTCTGGGGAAAGCCATCTTCTGACCAGCAAGGAAGAACTGGAGCCCTCATTATACAACAGTTCCCTGACTCACAGGCCGCTCACACCCCTTCACGGACCCCTCCCCCATGAGAGAAAACCAAACACTCCCTGCAAATCAAAGTCACCAAAAGTAAACACGGGGGCCCACACCACTTCCTCCTCAAGGACAAAAAGGCAGGCTTGGAAATCTTTCAGACACTTGACTCTGAGCAGCTTTTCCTTTCAGATAACACAGACATGCAAACACCTGAGAGTTTGCTTCGCATGACTATTTTCTGTCCATGAGAAGGGACAGGGAACGAGAAGGAGAATAACAGAAACATCTTCCCAACCACTGATCCCCAGTCAGGACATTTGCAGGAGATGCCTCGGTCTCTCAAACGGGCTGTGACCCCAAATCTAACCTCCCACTCTGTACGCACGCACATGCACGCACACACACACACACACACACACACACACACAACTACACTGCCTTCCACGAGGTCATGGACGTTCTGAGTATTATACAGAAGGACATGCTACTCAACGAACGCATACGATCAAGGCCCTCAGACTCCATGAACTCAGAGGCTCCCTGTCACTTCCGTCCCCAGTAACATCTTGGAAGAAGGACAGAGAATTAATTCAAGAGCACCTGACCCCACGATCACAATGGCTGCACATTTCCTAAGATGACCCTTGCGTTTCCCTGAGAATTGAGGGCACCATGTTGTTCATATGGGGGACCTAGACCCTAGGACAAGCCGGGACAGCTGGGTCAACAGCACACTAACCTGGGCCCTGCACCTAGGAGCCCAGGGGCAACTCATACCACCCCAATTTGCCTGATACTCTGGACGAAGTCATGAAGTCTTTGTCACTTCCTCACAATTCTCCTGACAGGGAGCGAGCGAGCAAGCGAGCCATGGAATGGAAGACTTGGCAAATACAACAAAAGAGGTAACGAAGGGAAGGCAGGTCTCCATGCCCAAGCTGTGTGTTCCACAGCTAATAATCCCTTTATGCCTCTTAATGAGTAACAGCTTGCGGTCAATACCTCCTCCCATGGACCTATCCTTCCTATCCCCAACCCTCACCTAGGAAGAAACAATGAAACAACTACAAAAATGCCTATTCTCGCCGGGCGGTGGTGGCGCACACCTTTAATCCCAGCACTTGGGAGGCAGAGGCAGGCGGATCTCTGTGAGTTCAAGACCAGCCTGGTCTATAAGAGCTAGTTCCAGGACAGGCTCCAAAACCACAGAGAAACCCTCAGAGAAACCCTGTATCAAAAAAAAAAAAAAAAAAAAAAAAAAAAGCCTATTCTCACGCTTTTAACTGAACCGAATTAAGCTTTCTGGGAACCTAGAAGGGAAGGTGAAAATGTAGCCGGGTATGTATTGATAACATGCTTATAATCCCAGAATTCAGAGGTGGAGGCAGGAAAATAGTTTGCAGCTGGCCTGTGTCAAAAATAGTCGTACCTTCATCTTAGATCCATTCTGTGCCCTACCAAAGAAGTTCCCCGCCCTTTGTTCTCCCCAAAAATGGCCAATCTCACGGTACTACCGGAGGGCAAGGAGATCCCTCAAGGCCGCAACAGCCAAAGTTCTGACTCCGGCCCACACTGCCACTTACAAAGTTCAGTTAGACCCACACAGTCGCACTTCCCAGTCCTCCCACCCTCACTGAGACAGAAGATAGAATCACACCTACAAAAAGTGAATGTTTTAGGTAAGTTTACATTTTTGTCTTGGGACTTAGGCACAGCTATGAGACACAGTGGCACCAGGTCTGGGGCTAGACACTCTGGCACCTGAACCTCTGAGCCCCTGAAGGCAGCTACCTCCCAGTGGAGATTTGGTACTCGGTCTCCACCACTGTACTTTGCAGAGTAACTTACTACAGAGTTTGATGGGGCATTGTCCCCACTGGGCCTGGGGCCCCTTTCACGCTCCCTGAGGACCCGAGACTCTTCCTGCCTGGTTTCACAGTCCCTGATCTGTGTGATGGAAGCAAAGCAGAGGAAGCGAGAAAACTGTGAGAGAAAATGATGCTGAAGTAAAACCCACGAGCAGCAGTGAGCTGTGGGGGAAGCAGCAGGCAATGGACTGCAGAAAGGGCGGACAGGAGACAAGAGTTAGTGGAGGGAGACCAGAGACGGTGAGGTACGCAGCGGATCTGGGGAACGCATCACTACCAAGATCTCAGAGATGCAGGAATTGGGATCTTCCACCCTGAACTGCACCGTGAGACCACAGAGAAGGGGCAAGCATTTGTGGTATGTTGCATCCACGGAGGCCCAGATTCGGACTCCACAAAGTGTGTGGGGCCTGAGCTCCCCTACCAAAGGAGGACTCTGAAGGCAGAAACCAGTCCCAGGGGAACATCACTACTGTTTGTCTTGCCCCATCCCAGTGTCTGGTCTTAGCGCATGGTAGAAACGTGGTGTGGAAATTGCAGGTCCTTCTTTGGTGTCAGTCTGGAATGCTTCTATACAGCAAGAGCTGTATGGAAGAGTACGCAAGAACCCAGAACCTAGACGTAGGCTTCAAACCACTAAACAAAAGCACTCCGGCAGAACACAGCAGGGGAAAGTCAGCTCGGGAAACGCTGTGTTCAAAGGGAAAGATGATTCATAACTGGCTTTTAAAGTGACTTCCAGCCATCGAGACGGCTCACTGGGTAGCAGCGCTTGCCACGCAAGCACGGTGACCTGAGTTTGATCCCTGGAGCCCACAGTGGAAGGAGAGAAGTGACGCAGTTGTTCTTTGACCTACACACACACACACACACACACACACACACACACGCACAAATATTTAAAAGGGCTTAACTAAAATACAATCACCTCATAAAGGAGCGTGGAAACAGCAGAGAAGACAAGAGCAGCCTTCTTTAAAGATTATCTCTTTCCTGGGCCAACAAAAAGCTCCTTAGCCCCAGTAGGGAAGGCCAAAGGGCCACTCAACAGTTTGAAAACTAATTGTAGAAGAAAAGAAGTAAGACACTCTCTTGAGTTTTCTACACATACTACACCTCAGGGTAACCAAAAGACTAAGCAGAGCAGACCTAGACGTTGTGGGGAGGTCACAGCTAACAAACAAGGGGGGAAATAACGGCCACATCACCATGTTGCAGCCATCTCCCCTTAACCACAAGCATCCCCGACATCACACGGGGGAAACCAGCAAGCACACGCTAGGGTCCTCGAAGTGATGGCAGAGGGCACTGCAAAGTGGGGAGGAGCTTATCAATAGCTCCTGCTGCCAAGAGAACACATCCGGCGACTCAGGAGGGGAACGCCATCACACCAACCCAGACTGTGGGAACCTCTGCTCAACAAGCAGTTCGGTGTTTTCAATCACAAAAATACTGACCGCAAAGGTAACTGGAGAGGGAAGGACAGACGGGCAGACAGAAAAAAACCCAAAGCCATCTAAGTCAACGGGATGCATCTCACTGGACCAAAGTCCAAAGCATAGGGAAAACAGTGCAGCAGAACTGCCAGTTAAGAGCACATACTACACTTGCAGTAGGTCTGCGTTCAAGTCCAACACCCAAGCCGGGAGGTTCACAGCCATCTATAACTCCTACGCCCTCTCCTGATGTCTGTTGACCCTGTACTCATGCACAAACCCACATTCAGGCATGTGCATTATACATAATTATAAGAAATGATATGTGGGTGGATGGATGGATGGATGGATGGATGGATGGATGGATGGATGGATAGGTGGATGGGTGGATGGATGGATAAATGGATGGATGGATGGATGGATGGATGGATGGATGGATGATGGATGGATGGATGGATGGGCAGATGGATGGATAAATGGATGGATGGATGGATGGATGGGTGGATGGATGGATGATGGATGGGTGGATGGATAAATGGATGGATGGATAAATGGATGGATGGATGGATGAATGACTGGATGCCAGATACACTACTGATCATCTCAACTATTCAAGATGGTGAGGCCGGAAGAACAATTCAGACCAAACACCCTAGTTACCCACACAGTAATCAAATTAATCGATAAAATGTAGGCTTTAAAAAAAAAAAAAAAAAAAACAAGAGAGGGAAATGAGCCCTGGCAAGACACGCTGATGATATTAAAGCTGTAGTTAATGTGTCTGTGAACAACGGCACGGTAATCCTGTAGCAGAAAGCCCAACTGTTAAAGGTACAGACAGAAACATTTCCTAGATAAATGGTGTGATACACGGGGACAGTGGAGTGAGCCGGGCTCTGCATGACTCGCGCCTCGACATGAGTGGACAGATTATACTCAAGTGGGGCTTACAGGCAGACAGGGGCTCCTGCTTCTGGTCGAGTTTGGTGTTTCTAGAATGTCTTTAAGAGTCTATGAAAGAAAATGTTCCCCCAAGCTTGGCCCTAGATGGCAAGCAGCTGAGCAAGAATTACCACAGAGAGGAGGACTAACAAATTTTCCTCTTCCTATCGTCCCCCACAAGGAGTCCGCACAGGAGAGTGCGGGAGAGGGGAACAGAACATCTAAAAAAAAAATCACACATCTTTCTTTAAAAGCCAGGTCTGTCGCTTGCTAGTCCCACGTGTGCCATGTATTATAACCTCTTCTGAGCCTCCATCTACAACTGAGGGATCTGCCCTGTCTCCCTCAGAAGCATCCCGGAGTTGACCAGACGATCCCACAGTGGGTGTGAGCTCTGACTGCTTTCCTTAGGCCACGGGAAGAGCCTGGCACGCTCAGAGCTCTGGGGTTCAGTCCTCTGCACGAAACGCTTTAAAACTAAGTTAGATTAAAAGGCATGAACAAGCGCAATGGCTGGTGGCTAGGACATTAGCGTGCACAGATGGTTCTGGAACCCCGCGGCTTACAGACAGCCACGGCAGGGTAAGTGACTCGAACGGAGTTGTTTATGAAAGTCGAGTTTCCCTGGAAGCTGCATGAAGAACCCCACTTGAGGACAGTGTTTTAGCTGCTGATATTTATTCCCAACCATTACAAATACGATCTTCTCCCAGGGAAGCAAATGGTCCTCTGACTTTTTAATGGAAACATTTATAAGCATTTCCCTTGTTTCTCACTCAGGGCCATCACTGTGAACGTCAGTACGCTGATGCAGACTGCACAAGAGCCCACAGTGCAAACACGACCAACCACGCCGGCTTCATTCAAGGTTAGCTCCACCCGTCCCGGCCTGCGCCATCTTCCCCTTGGTACCCACTTGGCCTCCTCAGATGAGCTGATGGTGAGGGGCACTCAGAAGAAAGAACTGGAAGTGCAAAGGGTCAGGGTACCTCCCGGGGATCAGCCATGAGTAAATGCACAGATTGTTGACTTCTGACCCTGGGTTACCTCAAACAGCAGCCTCCATGAGCCCCTACAGCCTCTACCTGTAGCACAGACAGTCAAGTAAAAGGCTGCCCACATTTTTAACAGTCCCCAACACTATCTCCAGGATCCAATGCCGCCTTCTGGCCTCTGTGGGCACTACATGTGTGTGGGCACATAAACGGATACACACACACACACACACACACACACACACCGCATGCGCGCACATGCACACACAAAACACTCACACAAATAAAATAAAAGTAAACTCTAAAAAGTCTTGGCCAAAGGCCAAGTCGGCAGGTGAAGCTGGCGGTCTATCATTGCCCTTCTTGCCAAAGGTCAAGAGAACAAGACTTAGCCAACCCCTACCATGCCTTGCCTATGACAGGTACAAGCAGGAGAGTCCGCAAAGGCTCCCTTGATGTCCCCAGCTTCGTTCTCCCACAACCAAGAAACGTCACACCTCAAAACTCAGGCCTGGAGTGACGTGAGGGGGAGGTCTGTGCAGACTCTCCCCACAGTGCTCTTGCCTGCAAAGGCTCCAGATAGGTGGAAACACATTTCTGTCCCCATGGCATTTCCCTGGAGGTGCACCCAGGGGACAGACATGCTGGGAACTCACTGTCTGCTCAGAGCTGGCTTTCACTGGCCTGCAGGAGCGTGTCTGCATAAACCCTCTCCTACTTGTTTCTCGAATGTCACCATCAATTCTCAGTTCGCACCAGACAAGGTGGGGCCTACTTAGAAATACAAGCAAGACTTCTCCTGAGACTAGCATCTCGCTGCCTCTCCACCCGGGGAAGGTCTTGCTGGTGCGGGTGGGACACACAGATTAGGGGTCAACGCGGGTGTTGTGTTCCCAAAGGAGTACCGTGTGCTTTTGAGTCACTAAAGAAATATATGTTTTGCACAAAATGCCTCACTGAGCTCATCCTTCTGCAGACAAAACTCAGAAACCAATGAACACCACAGAGACGAGATCCCAAAAAAAACGAGAAACCAGTCCATAAACTATGAAACTAATGCTCGTTCTCCTGGCTCGGGAGTGAGCCGCAAGGATGGAAGCCTGTGAGAGTTGGGAGTGACTGTCAACCCTACCGCTTACAGAATTACCGGGGAGATGAGGGATCTCTAGACTTGATCCACTGAGGTGGGAAGACCCGTCCTGAATGTGGGTGACAGCATTCGATGGACTGGGGACCTGGGCTGAGTAAGGGGAAGGGCAGAGAGAGCACTGGCCCTCATCATGCTGCTTCCTGACTCCGGGGCCGCCAACGTGCTGTCCCACCGTGATGGGCTCAGATGGGCTCTCCCTCAGACTGCCAGCCGCAGCGAGCACTTCCTTCCTTAGATTTTGTCAAGTATTCGATCACAGCCGCGAGTAAAGGAACACATACAAAGTCATAAGCATCACCTGAAGGCGATTTCTTCTTGCTTTTTTTGAGACAGGGTTTCAGTAGCCCAGCTGACCTGAACTCTCTTCCTCTTGCTCCAACTCTCACCTATTTGAGTAACGGGCAGGTGCAACCACACCCATCGGGCCACGAACTTTGAAATGCGGCTGGATCCTTATTAGCTTCCTCATAAGAAATTACTTCTGAGCTGGACAGTGGTGGCACAGGCCTTTAATCCCAGCCCTCGGGAGGCAGAGGCAGGAGGATCTCTGGGAGTTCGCGGTCAGCCTAGTCTACAAGACCTAGTTCCAGGACAGTTAGAACTGTTACACAGAGAAAAGAGAGGGGGGAAAAAACTGTTTCAAAAAAAGAAAAAAGAAAAGAAATTATTTCTGACTTCTGCAGATTATCAGCATCAATGGACCAGTCCGTGAAAAATAAAAGTATTTGTGTTAGAATACATGCTTCTTTTTGGCTGACTGAAAAGAAAGAAGAGGAGGAGGAGACAAAGGAGGAGGAGGCAAAGGAGGAGGAGAAGAAGGAGGAGGAGGAGGAGGAGGAGGAGGAGGAGGGGGAGGGGGAGAGGGAGAGGGAGAGGGAGAGGGAGAGGGAGAGGGAGAGGGAGAAGAAGAAGAAGAAGAAGAAGAAGAAGAAGAAGAAGAAGAAGAAGAAGAAGAAGAAGAAGAAGAAGAAGAAGAAGAAGAAGAAATCCCAAACATCATTTTCCCAGCTGAACACAAAAGACTCGTAGCTCCCCAGATGTGACTGCGTTGAAAGGGCTGCTTAATTATCACAGCAGGGGTCACGGCAGGGAAAGCGGAGCCACCCAGAGGCAGCCCAACTTCTGCTGCAGGACTTCAGGTCCATCTGGACACACTGGACACACTGACCCGCCAGTGACAGCCCCTGTCCAGGACTGCATGGGACTTTCCGGCCCCAGGAGACACTGGACAAACGCAGGTGCCACCACTCCTCTAAGGCCCTCCGGGCTCCAGCCTCCCTAGGCTAAGGTCAAACAACAGACTTGAGGAGTTTCGGGGCAAAGTTCATGACCTTAGACCAGCCCCAGTCTAGAAGGTTTGGGCTCCTCTCAGAGTGGCTGAAACAGAAACTCAGCTAGCTGTCATCTATGTTTTAGGGTGGCCCTGGGTACAGGATACTGAGAACTCAGCACTTGGGGAGCTGTTGATAATAAGAATACCTCCCACCTCACCGAAGTCCTAAAAGGAATAAAATTAACATCATGGATAAAGGATTCATACATGGTTTCTGGTGGCAGCATTTTTTTTAAGAACCTTTTTTTATTTCTGAACTGCCAGCACTCAGGTCAGGAGGTGGAGGCTCACAACGGCCTTGAACCTCCACCTCTAAGGGATCAGACCTCTTCTTCTGGCCTCGTCAGACATCCCAATACAAGTGGCATAAACACACATATACATAAATAAAAACACAAAGGGACAAGCCACGCAGCCAAATTTTCAGGATCCCCCTCCAGCAAGCTACTGACCAGCACAGGCCCTGATCTTTCTGGACAACCCTGAAGGGTCTCTCAGCTTTCCACCTTCGGCTGATCAGCGCATTCGACCACTGGTTTCCACTCTGTATGCCAGGCTACCAAAACTCAACTTTAGACCAGCAATCTCTTCCGAGGCAAGACCAGCCAACTAGAGTGACCAGCACAGAAGGCCACTAGAGTTCAAGCTGGACCATGGTCCAGAGTGGGTACAGCTCTAGGTGCCCGGGCACATGGCACCAAGTCTTATTTACCTGGGAGGGGAAAGTTGGCAGTACCCTTCTCGGGGAAGCATTTATCGGATTTGGCACGGGGAGGTTAACAATGACTTGTTGGGCACCGGTTATTCCGGGCTTCGGCCCAAGAGCACTTCCTCCAAACCACAGGACATGTCTCCTCAAGCATGATCAAAGATGTCTCTGGATCTCCCACACTGCAGAACGCCGGCATGCAATATGCACCATAGGGCACTGTGGCTTCTGGTGACACTGGACCTTAGGCCTTGTGAAAATGTGTTTATTTTGTGTGGATGTGTGTGTCCCTAAGTGCGGTGTATGTGCACTGAGCGCAGGGTGGAGCCCAGGGAAGTGAGAAAATGGTACAGGATCCCGCTGGACTAGACTGGGGAGTGGTTCTGAACCACTATGTGGGTGCTGGGAACTGAACCCCAGACCTCTGCGAGAGCAGTGAATGCTCCTAACTGCTGAGTTGTCAGAAAAAAACAGTAACATCCATCAGCGTCAGCCACTTAAGCATCATGGCCCACTCCAAAGACACAACTAACGGAATTCATTATTCTTCTTCTCTGAGCTCAACACACTCCAAAGTTCATCTGGCCTCTCCTCCCTGCTGGTTCCCACTGCCATCCATGAAGATCAACAGTGAGTGTGTCTCCTCCTGGTCCACCCACTCAGAAACAGGGGCCAGGTTAGAGCAAACATTTACCTCAATTAACGTAAAAATTCCCAAAACCAGGTAAGATTTCCAGTAACACTTTATGATCGCCTTGGTTAAGGAAGGCTTCCGTGCGTCCTTCTTGGCTCTCAGGACTTCTTTATCCCAGTACCTGCAAAAAGACAGAAGCTGAGTCAAGAATGGTGTGCATGGTCATTGCGCAAAACGGAGAGGTGGCAGGAGGACAGAGGAGTGTTTATGACAGGGTTATTCTGAGATGCGGCACAAACACCAGCTAATTGTCCCGGGGGACCCAGAATGATGGGTGAGGGAGACTTTGCTGCACCAGAAAAATGGGCCTCAAGGGGGAACATCTCAGGGAACACGTTACCGCCGAGCTTTGCTGGACGACAGCAACCTTGGTAGCCAGAGAAGGCAGGCGCTCACTCTGATGTAAACCTCATCCAGGGACAGATCTCAGGCATGGACAGCCTGTGGAGCAGGCTCCCCTCACGCCTACCAACATGGGTTTTCATTCCCAGGTCACTAAGTCAGGCCAGCCTGAGAGGAAGCGCACCATGTTGGGAGAAGGAAGCCACAGCAAGGTCTGCAGCAAAAAGCAAGGGACCCGAGAAGGCCAACCCTACTGCAAGCCCTAAGCCGCACAGGCCGGGCTCTCCTTCCCTCACCTTCTCTTACTGTGTCACACCCCTTACCCTTGCAGTTCCTCTCCGAGGTGCTTGGAGCGATCTTCTGGAAGCACTGAGAACATGTCATCTTCCTCCAACCTCCGCGAGTGACCAGTTTTAAACAAGGGGTTGAGCCACCTGTGAAAGAGTTAGAAGGATGACATCGTCAGAACTACACCTTTGTGTTGAAGAAGTCGCCCACCTCTGGGCAATTTGTCAGCCTCCAGATTTTAAGCATACGAAGGCAGAGAGAAGTCAAATCTGTACTAATTCACACCATACACACGTGTGTGTGCACACATGCATGCTTACACTGGGAGACCCTGGGGGTGGTGATGCCCCCAATCAATGAGAGCACTCTGACGCCCGGATAGCCAGAGCTTCACTTCTTAATAGCATCTCCCTTATAGAGACAATGGCACCTTAAAAACAGCTGATTACCGGGGCAGAAAAGGTGCTAGGTGGACCGCACCTTCTTGTACTGCAATATAGGGAGACGCTCAAGGAACCATGAAGATAGGGCCAAGAACAGAAGAGCTAGACAGAGGGGTCCCACTGGACAAATCTGGGAAGCATTGGGAGTCCAAATCAGGAAGATTGGTAAGGCACTGTAACCACTGAACAACAAAAGAATCCAGAGTCCTCACTGAGGAAGAAGAGGAAAGCTCCTACACAGACCACACCATACAGTTAGAAAACACCAGTAGAGAGTGGGGGCGTTGTCCAGTATTAGAGTGTACTGGGCCCTAAAATCAATCCTCAGTACACCCTCTTCCCCGCAAAGGAAAAGAAAATTGCCAAGAGAAGCTAAGGGGTTTCAGCAGTACCGAGACCTCAGCAGCTCTGGGAAGCAAGGTGTGAAGTGCTCAGGACACTCCAGAGGCACAGAGCTTTGACTGGGAGCAGTGACAGATCCACAGGACTGTGGCAGACAAGGCAAGGGCTCCTAAAGGTAAACCTGGGTCTCTAGAACGTTCCAACGCTTCGCCTTGTCCACCCTAGGGATCCTGAGTGACACCACGAGAAGGAGAAGCCAATCGGGTCACCTCTTTCTCACCACCCTCCCCAGGGAGCACTTGTCACCCCGCCTACCCGGGGCTCCACGTAGGTGGGCTTCCCAGACACAACTGAAATGCCTTCCACAGGCCTGAGCCCTTTCTTCCAGTAGAACATCCGGAATTTTCCAGTTAGTACTTCCGAGTGGAATTCATTAGCATGTTTTCAGGCTTAAAGACTTGTGATGGTTTGTGGTGGGGTTGTTTTGTGTTGAATCAGCAGGAAAAGACATTCTGGGAAGACAGACTAGCTAAGAAAGGCTCAGGTGTGGAGACGTTATCAGGTAACTGCTCAGCATGTACAGGACCTGAGTTCAAACCCAAGAACCAACCCCTTGAAGAGGACAGAGGAGGAAGCAGGAAAGAAACACTGCTGACCACGACCAAAGAGACTGAGCAGTGAACAGCATTTGTAGCATATGCAGGAATGTTACAGAGAGGGATGTAATATTAAATTAAGAAATACGAACTCAAGGGACTCCAAGTTTCCTTTAGAAGATGCCACAGATGGATCCTCCCAGGCTCTCTCACTACCCAAATCTCAGAAAACCCAGCCGAGACACATGGTTTCATTTGCTGCCAGACAGGTATACTGAGATAAGAAACTATCTTTGATCATCTGTGTAATAAATTATATATGGTCGGATATCACACATGACCTTCTGATGAACAATAACGGATTATACTATGATAATCCCTAAAATATTATAAGGCCAAGTGGCATCACGAGCCGTCTTAATTTGTGTGAGCACAGGCAAGGTTAGCTGAGTGACAAAGCCGCCCAGGGACAACTGCTCAGAATACGTCTCTTTGGTTAAGTCACGGATGATCACACATGGAGACCCAGGTAAACAGATGCCTTCATTCTAACTTATCCCCGGGGAAACTGCATTTCATCCTTGTTCAACACGAAGACCCCAACTCCTTCAGAGCAGCAAGCACCCCCATGCGACTCGCAACCCCTGCCGATAACACAGCACCTGTGAGATGGGAGCGACAGCTACTGAATGGATGAGATGGTGTCTGACACAGAGGGTCAGGTCGCCATGAGCAGGGACCACAGTGTGACTTTGGGAAGTCAATCTATTGTACCATGCTGAAGCGCAAATACACACTCATACACACACAGAGATACACACATTCATACACAGAGACATACACACACACACACACAGATACATACTCAGACACAAATACACAAAGACACACACACTCATACATAGAGACATACACACACAGAGATACACACACTCATACACATATACACATAGACACACATACTCATACATAGAGACATACAATCACACACACTCATACAGAGACACACACTCACACAGAGAGATACACATACATTCACACACAGAGAGACACAGACACACAGAGAGGCACACACTCACACAGACATACACACTCACACACAGATACACACACTCATACAGAGACACACAGATACACACACTCAATTACAGAGACACACACACATAGACATATACACTCACACAGATACACACACACTCTGTGTACACACAGAGACCCTATGACGATTTGAGATTGCTAAGGGAAAGTTTCTGCAACACAATAAACCTCTCCCCCGACACAGTAATCCAAATCAGACCAAATTAAACCAAACTAGAAAAAGCCCAGGTTTAATGTAGGAGACAGGGAAGGGAGAGCAGAAAACCTAGTGTTTGTGCTCCGGGGTACAATTTAAATACCCTGTGGGACCGGCCTTGAGCATCTCTGGGAGGGGTTATTGTCTGACGGGCTTTCTCGGGGTGGACTGAGGCAACTCCCAGGGGAGGGGGCTTAGGATGAAACTTCCACCAGAACATTCCAGACTCTTTGGATATATGGATGCCAAGGCCTTAACCCAAACATTACAGACTCTGGGTATGTGGATGCCAGGGTCTGGGGCGATGCTTCCAACCAAACAGTTATCATAAACAAAACAGGGTGACCCGAGGCTGGTCCCACAGGGGGTGGCAGTGGAGGGCTCGTGGCCACGGCGGGTGAGGGACAGATACGCCAAGCAGAGAGAGCTTGGGAACAGAGTTTATTTGGTGGGTATTGGAAATGGCGTAGAGTAAGGGGTTATGGAGGGAGGGACAGAAGAGAGAAAGAGAAGGGCAAGGGAAGGAAGAAGACAAGAGAGAGGCTTCCGCCTCTCCAGAAGAGATCTGAGCTAAGCCCTTTCTCTCTGCACGCTGGTTATCTCCAGCCATGTGTTCCAGTAACGGAAACTTACACAGCCCTAAACCCTGACTCCTGACCTAACATGCTGCAATACTAACGCAGCCATGCAGCCTTTCACTCATCTGATCCCTCGGTTCCTGTGTTTCTGGGGAAATGTCTGAGAAGCCCCCCTCTTTGCGCTCCATACCCCACATGGTCTCACCTGGGTAGAAACTAGGTTCTATTAACAGGCTTAAATCATGTTCCGCCTCTGCAAGCATGAGCTTAGTTCTCAGAATACTGTTTTCCTCTCAATTATTCAGTTTTAGTATTTCTACATGTGACTTCCTGCAATGGACATAATGGTGTTAAAAATAAATAAATAAATAAATAAATAAAGCACCTGACTCATACAAGCAACTGCTTATTCCACATCCCCTCCCGTACATCTAATAAGGACCTCAAATTTTAAAATGTCCCCCCAAAAATGGTGACTTCCCCTTTGAAACCCTGCCCGTCACATGGCCTCTTCTCCTTTAGATAACAGACGTCACATGTTTCCAGCTGCCCAGGCTTTGGGAACCCTCAGGGCCTTCCAACTGTCTGGAAAAATCACATGTCCACGCCACCTGCAAACCTGTCACTTTGACCTGCGGAACTGCCACACTGACCGCCTGGGAGTTACATCCTTCCCTTAACCCACACTTAAATTTCCCACTCAGGGAACACATCTGAGAGGCTATCGCAGTTCACAGTTTTAGAACAATGCTTTCCTTCAAAGCGTGTAAGTGCCGGAAGGCTGGATGACCTCATTTGAAGCCACACAGAACACACTGGACACGCAGAAGGCACAGCTTGGCCCAACACATGGATGGACACTCTGCAAGTCCTTAGTTCTGATTTATTTCCACCTCAGACCCCATTCTCAGTCTGTGGTATGGAGCAGAGCAACCGAGACAGAGACTGCACAGGAGGGGTGTCCCGAGGAGGTGGCTCTCGGCCTGGAATGTACAGGAGGAGGTTCTCGGGAAGAAGGTGACATGAGGAATTTGGTTTCCAGTTAGTCCGTGACTAAATGCTGCCAAGGAGGAGCTGAGGCTAATCGCTAACATCAGCTTCTCCTCTGGCATGCCGGTTAGTTGGCTCTGACTGCACCTGCCCGCCCAGTAAGCAACAATATCACCCAACAAAATCCTGCCAAGTTTGCCAGGGCTCCCTCATCACCAGGTTCCCGGTGGCCTGGCTTGGAGAGCCCAGCACGCACGATGCCCTCCAGCTCTCCCCACTCTGCTAGAAACTGTACTTCGGTCCTCGCTCGGCGCAGATCTCAGTGGAACCCATCCACTGTGTGGGGGGACAGCGAGGACAGGCTGTGCTATCTCAGGGTGGATCACCACTCCGCCTCTGCAGACCAGTTCCAAGCCCAAACCACACTAAACACACAGATGAGACATCTACCAAGTTGACATTGTTCCCCAAACCCTCTGTTGAGGGGTGTGGTGGGGCATGCCAGAAAGCCCAGCCCTAGGGAGGTGGTGGCAGAAGGATCTGACATTCAAGGTCATCTTGGGCGTAGCTAGTTCAAGTCCAACCTGGGCTACCCTGTATCAAAGCAAACAAAGCCCCAAATTCTCCTACTTCCGGGAGGCCTCTTGCCTGGTGTGTGTTGAAATAAACAAGTTCTGTTTCCCTCCCTGGTGTCCAGAGCCCTGCACTCCATCTATAGCCCCACTCCCCATGAATCCTCACATGCTGTAAGCTTTAGTACAAGGTTGGCTGGCTCAGTGGATTTGTGATGAGGCAGTGGATCATGGTAGGGGCGTGCGGTACCCAAAGATGCTCACTTCGAGATGGCTGGGAAAGGCCTAAGTGTCCTATCCAGGGGCTTCAGGGCCGTCGCGGTTCAAATGT